TCCAGAAGATGTCAAGGAAGGGACATTTATAATGTGCTGAATTCCCTGCCATTCTTCTCTGTTTTCAGACCTGTTTCTTTGACTTTTAGAGATTAGCATCTCCAGACACAGAACTTTGCTCCTCGGCCATCCCCTAACACAGATAACTCTCTACCAGCAGAGAGGGGGCAGTGATTCCTCCCTCACCACACAAGTCTCAGATTCCTTAGATAAAAAGGAGGGCCGGGATGTTGTACCAGAAGCAGCGGCACACATCTGTAATCCCAGCTACTCAGGAGGCTGAGACAGGAGGATCACCAGTTTGAGGTCAGCCCAGGAACTCAGCAAGATCCAGTGTCCCTGAGCTCAATCCCCAATAAATAAATAAATAAGGCTAGGATGTAGCTTGGTGACAGAGCACCCTTAGTTCAATCTCCACTACCACAAAAAGAAAAAAAAAAGTTGAAATGATCATGCTGTATTTAGGAACTGGCCAATGTTGTCTTTCATGAATTGTTTTCTGTCATGTTGCTGTCAAAAGGCTTGCTTAGAGCTGAGATGTAGCTAGTGGTAGAGCTGCTTGCCTAGCATGCTCAAGGACCAGAATTTGACCCCTAGCACTGCCAAAAAGGGGGAGGAGACAATTCTATGACAATCTACAGTGCCTGATCTACAAAGCATGATAACCTTTTTCTCTGTGACTCAGCTTCCTCATCTATAAGTTGGAGAATAACAATCTTCTTAGGGGATGTTCTTGTGACAATTGAAGGAGATAGCATCTTTGAAGTGCTTAGCAAGATGCAAAACTCTATAAAAACAGGTTAGTACTTTTGGTAATTTTTCCAGTGCTTAACTTTGGAATGTAATCACATCATACTCTGTACCAGAAATATGTAAGTTCAGTTCTTAGAAATGCAGTCACAGAGCTGCACTTTAACAATTTAACAACCAGTTGCTCTTTCATAACTGAGGGTTGGTCTAAGACAATGATTTGCAAAGGAAGAGATACTGTCCCCTAGGGGACATTATGAGAATTTGTGGTAGAGTTTTTGATTGTCACCAACTGGAAAGTTCTTAGGCATTTGAGAGAAAAGGGGTTCAGACTAGCATAATTAAGAATAGCCCCACTTTTCATACTACTTTTGAGTGTCCTGTTGAACACATACTGCTGAAAAACTTGATATGATTACTTGAACCTAGAACCATCTCTAATTTACACAAAAATATAAAGATTTTTACACTGACTTTTCCAGGAAGGAAATTAGTGAGAATTGTTCATTTTGGTGAAGTCAAGTTGCCGATACAACATACCTTCATCAGTCAGTATTTACAGCTATTATATTCCAGGTAAGTCTGTGTAAGTATAAGCAACAGGCTATTTCACTGATCACTTTGCCTAGCTTGTTGTGGGTGAATCTATACATGAGATAAAATTTCATAAAGCTATACACATGGACTGAGGGTGTAGCTCAGAGGTAAAGCACTTAGCATGTGTGAGGCCCCAAGTTCAATCCTTGGCACTGCCAAAAAATAAACAAACAAAAAACCTATACATACACACAAACACACACATTATATGTAGAAACTGGTGAAATCTGAATAGGTATTTGACCCATGTCACTTTTCTGGTTTTGATATTGTACTATTGTCATGAAACATGTTACCATTGTGGGAACCTGGATAAAAAGGTACCAGCTGGGGACCTCTCAATAAATTTTTGCAATTTCTTATGAATATATCTAGACCCACTTAGTTTTTTTTTTTTTAATGGGAGTTTGGGGGTATGGCTGAAGGGTAGAATACTTGCCTGGTGGTCCTATCTCCAGCACCCGCCCCCCCACCCAACACACACACACAATTTTTTTTTAAAGTTTATTAAAAACTTTTTGTAAGGGTTACATGAAATAATGTGGCTGGAATAGTGGTTGAACATAATCAGCATTTTAGTACCTAGAAGTTCCTTTCCTCCCCACTCTAGAGTGAATATTCTCTAGACTATTATTGTATGATAATAATGGCCTCTTTTTTGTGTGTTTACTGTGAGGCCTATTTTGCATGCATTCTTTCATTTAATAAAGCCTACAAAGTGGGGATTTTATTTTTGTCATACTGGGCTTGGAGCCAGGGCCTTGCACCTGCTAGGAAAATGCTCTATCACTCCAGTCTATGGGTACCTTTATTATTTACCCTTTTGCTCATAAGAAAAACTCAGGTTCAGCAAAGATATTTTCTCCATTTATTAGAAAGTGACCACAACCAAGATTCAACCAGGCAGCCTGTTTGTGAGGTTACTCCTTCTCCACAGGGCCCAGATCAGTGCATAGGATAAAGGTATGCTTTGAAGCCTGGAAATCATCTACTAACTCGCTCTGTGTACATACAGGAAAACTGAGGCTCAGAGAGAAGGGCTTTGTCAAGGACAGACCCAATAAATCTGTGGTTGAGCCAGAATAAGAACCCAGTCTTTGAATTCCAGCCCACATCCAGAACTGCTCAATTACACAGCACACTTTTCTTGGGCCCTATCTGGGCAAACACTGGTGCCAACGGAGGGACTTGGGGTTCCTACTCATGCCCCTCACCAACCTGTCCAGCTCAGAGCACCAGGTCCAGAGCTGCAAATGAGGTCTGGAGAGGCTGACTCCTCTATAATAGGCAGTCCTGGGAGCCAAGGTGGTTGGAGACACAGGACAAGGAAAGATGCTCTGAACTTTGGCAAGAATTGGGATAGGAAATGAGGGTGTGTGTGGGAGGGACAGGTATCATAAGTCCATGCTCCCATCCCTCTCAGGTTTCCTTGAGTCACTTGCCCCTAAGGTTGGGACACATTCTTGAAGGGAATGGTCACAGGGGTTCCTCAAAGGCCTCTGTAAGTCTAGGTCAGTTTCTATTTCTCCTAAGACTGAAACCAACTTCCCCCTCAGGCTCTGCACCCCAATTGGTAATATAGTGACTGGCTCCTCTAGACCTGAGGCTGGAGGAGAGGGACACCTGGATTCCATTTTTTCAGGGGATGAGTCCTTGCTATTCAGTGCGGGGCGGGGTAAGCGGGTTATTCAGATGAACCTGATTGTTCCTCTCTTCTTTATCCTGTTGTGCTCCCCACATACCCCATCTCTCTAGATCAATTCTCGATGGACCAGGGCAACCAGGAGAATCAAGGATCCCTCTCTCCATCCCTCCGTTCCATCTCACTATCTCGGAGCCCTGGCGAGGAAGCCTAATAGCCACTTGGCTTAAGGGAGCGGCTCTAGCATTTTGGGTCGTGGGGAGCAGCGCCCTCGTGTGGCCTTCAGGAAAAGCGCGGCTCCTTGCCCAGCCCCCTTCCTTTCCTTGCGCTCCCCCAATAACCATTTATTGAGAGCTACCACATGCCACGCTGCTCTAGTCTCAGCGGCCAAGAAAGATAACATACTTGCCCCATGGACTGTACTTCTGTGTGTGTGTGTGTGTGTGTGTGTGTATAGAGACAGGCAATAAACGATAAACAAATAAATGAGGCAGTTACTAATAGTGATAATTACTAGGAAGAAAATAAAACAGAAATGTAATGGAAAGGGACCGTAGAGGGCAACTTAGGATAGGATGGAAAAGGAAGGTTTCTTTGGGTAGGTTATATCCAAGCAGAGATCTAGGTGACAAGGATCTAAGCAGGTGAGGACCTGGGGGAAATATTTCCTTGCAAAAAAATAGTTTGCGAAGCCCCTCAGGCAGGAAAAGGCTTTGCATAACAGACAGAAGGATGATGTGGTTAGAAATAAGGGAGGATGGAAGGAGTTGTGATTAGTGAAGTGGGTTGAGGTCAGGCCATGAATCTTGGAGCCATGACAATAACTTTAATTTTTCTTCTGGGAATGATGGGTACTCACTGGGTGAGTTTGAGTGGAAGAGTAATGTGGCTCTATTGGTTTTTGTTTGTTTGTTTGTTTTTGGTGCTGGGGACTGAATCCAGGAGCGCTTAACCACTGAGTCATATCCTCAGCCCTTTTTTATTTTTTATTTTGAGACAGGGTCTCACTAAGTTGTTTAGGGCCTCATTAAATGGCTGAGGCTGGCTTTGAACTTGCAACCCTCTTGTCTCAGCCTCCTGAGTTGCTGGGATTATAAGTGTAGGCCACCACACCCAGCTTGATTGCCTTTTAAAAGGACTCCTGTGGCTGCCACGTGAAGGTTGGACTTTGGGCAAGGCAGAAGGAGTTGAAGCAGGAAGATTATTGCAAGAAGCTAGAAGGCCATTGAAACAATTCAGCTGAGAAATGATGGTAGCTTGTGTCAGGGTAGTAGTGCTAGAGGTGGGGAAATGTGATTGGATTCTGTATATATGTGGAAGGTAGAGTCAACAGTACTTGACAAGGGATCACATTCTCTTTTGCTCATTTAGTACAATGAGCAACAAACACCCCAATTGTCTCCTCCATCCTCAGCAAGTTAAAGGGGCAGGGCCCAAGAACATAGATAAATTGGGGGTTTCCAGATGTTGGACAAAAAAATTTAAGATACAGATGTTCTCTGTGACTTGCCTCTGTTTTTCATCATTAGCTCATTTAATGGGCAGGTTCTATACCTGCTGTCTCCCTTACCCTGCCAGGTTTCTATAAGACCAATTATTTAATAGGTCCCTATTTGTCCAAATGTGTGTGTCTGTGACCCCCAGGGTGTGATGCTGACACCCCAAACAGTTCTGGATGTTTGGTGTTTGCATGTGATACAAGCTAGGGACAACATAATCTGGGGGAGTAAGTGCTTAGACCTAGGTTAGCCATCTACTCCTATTTATTTACACAAAACACAGTGGGGTCAAACCTGATCTCACAGGAAATGCACATATACACTTTGGCCCCGGGTTGGGCATTTCTGGAGAGCCTGGGGAAACCAGGCTACAAACACTCTCATGCCAACAGGGGTGGGGAAGCAAGTAGGGGAACAGTTGACCCGGTATGCTCTGGAGCTAGCAGGTCTTGTTCTGTTTGTGTTGTGCTACTGTAACTGGGGTTGAGGGTGCATTATAAATATAGCCAGAGGGCCCCTAGAATTTCACTGCTCCTGAGACTCTGTGTGATCTTCAGTAAGATGAAGATGCCAGATGCCCATGAAAATGTTCCTGTAGAAGAGATGGACAGCAGCCTTGGCCTTAGCCTCAGCGTTGATGGCCCCTCAAACATAGACAGCAGGGAATTGGGGATATCCAAGGACCCTCTGCTCTTCATCCAGCTGAATGAGCTGCTGGGCTGGCCCCAGGCATTAGAGTGGAGAGAGACAGGCAGGTAAGTGGGACCCAGGCTAGTTCTGTGAGGCCCTTCCCCAGTTGGGGCTTCTTCCATGACCCCCTTGTTCCTCCTGTGGGTCTCCTTCCAACCTAAAATAAGGACTTTTTTTCTCTCTGCATTCTGCCTTTCATTAGTGTCCTTTGCAGTCTAGCTCTGAGTTCCCCAGGTCCCAGGATGAGGGGTGACTGCCCAAGATAGGCATGCTTGGCATTACAGGGCCCATGACTCCCCCATTGCCCTATCTTCCCTGGCTTTGCTGTGTCCCAGCTCCTGGCTGTGGGAGACATTCCCCAAATAACACTATCCATCCCCCTCTACCACAGGTGGATGCTGTTCGAGGAGAAGCTGGAGGTAGGAGCGGGCCGGTGGAGTGCTCCCCATGTGCCCACCCTGACACTGCCCAGCCTCCAGAAGCTCCGCAGCCTGCTAGCCAAGGGCCTTGTACTGCTGGACTGTCCAGCTCAGAGCCTCCTGGAGCTCGTGGGTAGGCTGTTAACCTTTTCAGGGAGATGCCATTTCCCTGGGATTTTCCCCAGTCTTGGAATCTTCTAGAGCCTACCTGACCCCATCCCACCCTAGATATTATTACAAGAAGGAGTTGGAAAGGCAGAGTGAAGAAGCAAATTCATGGGTCCCTACATTTCCTAAGACCCCTAGAAGGGAAATGAGGTGGGGAGAGGATGATATGGAGGTGCTTCAGAAAACTCTTAAGGACCTCAAGCCCCACATCTATTCTCCAGAACAGGTGATCCAGGCGGAATCATTGAGCCCAGAGCTGAGAGGACAGCTGCAGGCCTTATTGTTGCAGAGGCCCCAACATCACATCCAGACCAGAGGCATTTGTTGGGGTGAGAAGCCCTTTCCTGGGCCCAGGATCAACACCCTGGGGTGGGAGAATCCAAGATGTCCCTTGCACCTTCCTGAGACAGAAGTGGCCTAGGCTTAGCTCAGACTTCAACCCAAGACTCCTGGGCAAGTTCAGGAGCTGGTGGAAATAGGGGAAGGGATGGTTAGGAGCCCAATAGAGCTCTGTGAAGGGAGGCACTTGGTGGGTTCTGTGTCAGGGGCTTTACACACAGTATCTCATTTAATCTTGACAGTCACCCTGTAAGATAGTACCACAATTATCCCCATGTTAGTGATGAGAAAACTGAGGCCCAGTGGGAAATAGTGTGCTTTAGTTCTCATAGCTTGTTAGAGGAAAAGCTGGTCAGGGAGCCCTGGTGGATATGCCCCCAAAGCTCTTGACCGCTGTATAATCCTTTTGTAGGATCTGCCCATCCAAAAAAGGCTTCCCATGATGAAAATATTCCCCTGAAGGAACAGGTTTGTGGCCCTTCGTTGGGTAGGGTTGGGAGAGGAGTCAGGAATTAAAAGTTCTCATCAGTTGAGATACTGTCAGCATTCCCCTCCCCAAATAACCTTTCATACTCTGTGCCACACAGGGTCAAAACTCCCTGAGACAGAAGCTGCCTCCAGGGGCCGAGGCAGCAGCTGTGCTGGCCGGAGAACTGGGCTTCCTAGCACAGCCTGTGGGGGCCTTTGTGCGACTGCGGGACCCTGTGGTGCTGGGGCCACTTACTGAGGTGCCCATCCCCAGCAGGTGAGGCTACTGAGAAGGAGGCAGGGGTCCTAGAACTCAGAAAAAGGGCCTGTATGGGAGTGGGTTATGAGGGAATCCCTGGGTCAGTCCTCTGAAGGTGTGTGGGGGATGGGTGTAGGGATAGGGAAGGTGAGAGTGGTCAGCTCTGCAGAGCAGGCATGCAATGAGTATATGTATGGAGCTGGTAGGGAGGGCAGAGCGGTGTCAGTGGGCAGAACTGCCTTATGAGAAAGCAGCATCTGACCCTCCCTGGGGTTTGGTTCCTTCTTCAGGTTTTTCTGCCTCCTCCTGGGGCCCCCCGCACCCAGAAGGGGCTACCATGAAATGGGTCGGGCAGCAGCTGTACTACTCAGTGACCCGGTGAGCTGGGCAGGCATACCTGTGTGACTGTGCACATAGGCTACTATGAGTATGTGTGGACTCTGTATGTGTGACCAAGTACAGCAGTGAGGCAGAGTGTAGCTTTGTGTCTGTAGCAGGGGAACTGAAATTGCCATGGTTACCAACATAGCCTCATTACTGGCCCAATGCTGCACACAGAAGTCATTCAGTACTCATTGAATGAACGAATGCACGACTGATTTGCCTGCCTGTGTGACCTGTGTGTCTAGTTTTGAGAAACACACAAATGAAAATGCATTTGAGAGTCCAATTCTGTATTTACTGCCCATTCTGTGTTCCTAAACCCAGCAATTCCAGTGGTCAGTTCGCCGAGCCAGGAACCTTCATGACCTTCTGGCAGCCCTGGATACTTTCCTAGAAGGGGTGACTGTGCTCCCCCCAGGTCGGTGGGACTCAACAGCCCGGATCCCCCCACCCAAATGCCTGCCCTCTCAGCACAAAAGGTACCTGGGGGCCATCATTCCATACAGATCCTTCCTCAAAAGCAGTCTAGGGTCTAGAGCTACTGTGGAGGAGAGGACGGTCCTATCTTCGAATTTGAGTTCAGGCCAATCTAACTCTGATTTCTTCTCTTTCACTCTCTCGTTATTCAATCTGGACAAGTATCTTCCCCTCCCGAGCTTGGCTTTCACAGGGCGTGATATGACCTGAACCTTCTTTGCTCGCAACTCTGCCCTGTGAACCGGCCCCTCAGCGGCCACCAGGGGGCAGGGCGCCCCCAGCTCGGAGCCAAGTCGCGGGCTGGTTGGAGATTCTCCAACAGCCTGGGGTTCCCTTCTCCCTAGGCTCCCCTCGCAAATGCAGGAGGTCGAGGGCCTCTCCCGCGCGCGCAGAGCCCGCACAGAGGACAGGGACAGCCATGAGCCACACAAGCCTACCCTGGAGTTGCAGCGGACCGGCCGGTGAGGGGAGCTGCTTGGGAAGGATTGGGGGCCTGGGGAAGGGAGGAGTCATAGGGGATCCAGATGTGTGCTCGCCGGAAGGGCTCACCTGGTCGCAGGAAAAGTAGCGGGGATGGGGGCGTAAGGTATGGGAATCCGGATTACTGACGACCCACGGGCGGGAGGCTGTTTGGGGGCCTTGTCCAGGACGTGCGACGGAAGGCTCCGTGGTACCCAAGCGATTTCTTGGACGCCCTGCATCCCCAGTGTTTCTCAGCGGTGCTCTACATTTACCTGGCCACTGTCACTAATGCCATCACTTTCGGGGGTCTGCTAGGAGATGCCACTGAGGGTGCCCAGGTGGGTGGGGTGCAAAAGAGGGGTTGACACAAGCTTTGGTATCCGGGCTGCCATTCCCTTCTCCTGGAACTACGGGTCGGCTTAGGAGGCTCCCCAGAAGCTTGGGCTCCTGTGCAGAAGACTCCAGAGTCCTGAGCCCCATGCTGTCTTTCAGGGAGTGCTGGAAAGTTTCCTGGGCACAGCGGTGGCTGGAGCTGCCTTCTGCTTAATGGCAGGCCAGCCCCTCACCATCCTCAGCAGCACAGGACCAGTACTGGTCTTTGAGCGCTTGCTCTTCTCTTTCAGCAGGTAGGAGACCTCTCCCATCTCTCCAGCCCTTTACTAGTCACATCCTCAGCCTGGTCCTGGCTTGGTCAATAGGAAAAAATGAGAACTGTCTCTTTGGCTTGAGAGGCACCTGACCTGGGTTAGGTGGGGAGCAGACAGTCCTGCTGTCTCTCACCCCACAGAGATTACAGCCTGGACTACCTGCCCTTCCGCCTGTGGGTAGGCATCTGGGTGGCCACCTTTTGCCTGGTGCTGGTGGCCACAGAGGCCAGTGTGTTGGTGCGCTACTTCACCCGTTTCACCGAGGAAGGTTTCTGTGCCCTCATCAGCCTCATCTTCATCTATGATGCCCTGGGCAAAATGCTGAACCTGACCAGAGCCTATCCCATCCTAAGGCCGGGGTCTCCTGCTTATGGCTGCTTCTGTCAATACCCAGTCCCAGGAGGTGGGTTGAGGGGAACAGGGAGGGACCTTGACCAGGTGAGAACTGATGTGGGATGGGGAGGGATTCCCCCTGGTTAAATTCAATGAAATGTGAACACTTACTTGATAACCAGCAGCACTCTTCTCCTCTATGGTTCTGAATCAATTGAGAAAAAAAGACAATAGAAAACCCAATATTGTCTTTATTTCTAACACCAATAGAAGAACATGGGTTATACTGTGGGTGAATGGGTTTCCTAAAAATGAAGACAAATTAGAATTACCTACTCGGTAATGGCAGCACTGACAGAGATGATCTTGCTCCAGAAGAGCAGAGCTAAATACATGTACCAGATAGGCAGCTTACTCCTGAGAAATGGAAGAGAAAGAGGCAGGGCTAGAAATACCTACCTTCATCTCCTTTAGGTAATCAAATAAATCATAGTTTTTTCCCTGGAGGGAGTGACTGACCAGGTGAAGAGATTTGGAGTATTACACTTGCATATACCCTTCCATGTATCCCTGGTGGAAGGCAACACCAGGACTGGGGAAGGAGTGTCCTCTAACATGAGCCGGATTTGTGCTAGGCATGAATAAGACCAATTTGTCCCAACAGCTTGGAAAGCTGAGATAGGAGGATAAAAGACAGGGATAGGGAGATAGAGACTTTGAAGCCAACCTCGGCAATTTAGTGAGGCCCTAAGCAACTCAAAGGGCTGGGAATTTGCCTCAGTGGTTGATTGCCTCTAAATTCAATCCCCAGTACCAAAAACACAAACAAACCCAGTTTGTGCAGTGGTAGAAACACAGATTTGGGAACAGCTCATGCATTTGGCCAACATACATTTGCTGAGCAACTGCTGGGACCTTTTTCTATGATATGCACCAGAGTTACAAATGAGTAGAGAAGTGAGGGGCAGCTGGGTGCAGTGGTGCTTGACCCTAATCTTAGGGAGTTGAGAGGTTGAGGCAGGAGGATTGCAAATTTGAGACTAAGCTCAGCAACTTAAGGAAACCTAGTTTCAAGATTAAAAAAAAATTTAAAGGACCAGGGATATAACTCAGTGGTAAAGCACCACTGGGTTCAATCCCCAGTACAAAGAGGTAGAGAGTGAGTGAGAACTTATGGAGATGAGGGCAGGAGGCAATGCCCGACATAGCATCATAATTGGTAGTGATAGAGTCAGCAGACAGAGGAATCAGAAGTAAGAACTCTGGTTCATCTAGACCCATCAGATTAGAATCTTGTGGGGTTGGAGAAGGTTCTCAGGGGTTCTCAAGGTTCTCTCTGCTTTCCAGGAAATGAGTCTCAATGGACAAGGACAAAGCCAAAAGACAAAAATGACCTCTTAACCATGGTGAGATCCTGCTCCTGAGAAGGCCTGGGAAAGAAAGGGTGGCAGCCAAAGCAGTGAGTGGCTCTTAACTCTTCCCACACATAATCTAGGTCACTGAGGCCTATGACCAAAGACCTCCCATCCTGGGTCCTCGATGTTTCTGTGGGTCCCCCTTTCCTCAAGGTGTTTCCAGGAGAATAGTATACTTACTCTTCTGCATATAATGCTATCCGCCCTTTCATACAGGACCTTGGCCTGGTCAATGCATCCTTGCTGTCTCCACCTGAATGTACCCGGCAGGGAGGCTACCCTCGTGGCCCTGGTTGTCATACCGTCCCAGACATCGCCTTCTTCTCCCTTCTCCTCTTTCTTACCTCCTTCCTCTTTGCCATGGCCCTCAAGCATGTAAGGACCAGCCGCTTCTTCCCCTCCGTGGTGAGTATCACCTTTCTCTCTGTGTTAGAGGTTTGCTCTTAGCCTGGGTCCTGTCTCTGAATGGGAAAGTGTGTGGAAGGAGGGGGATGGCAGGCTGGAACCTGACTATCTACCATGTGGCCAGGTACGCAAGGTGCTCAGTGACTTCTCCTCAGTCCTGGCCATCTTGCTGGGCTGCAGCCTTGATGCCTTCCTGGGCCTAGCCACACCAAAGCTCTTGGTGCCCAGAGAGTTCAAGGTAAGAATTGGGGATCAGGAGAGGGGCCAGAAGGGAAAGCAGGGCCAGCAGACCCTGGAGGAGGAGGATGCATAAATATTACCCTTTTCTGAGCTTCTTTTCTTACACATAAAAAAATAGTAATAATAATGGTTATTGAAAGCATTAAATGAAGTACTGCAGCAGACATATAAGTGAATATAGAAATATATACACAGCAGATAATTATTATATGGTAGGGGTCAGGAGGATGGGTTCTAGGTAGACAGATCTGCCACTTCCTGGCTGTCTATTAGGCAAGTTATTGCACATTTCTGAGCCTCAATTTCTTAATCTATAAATGGAAATAAATAACAACAGTTCCTACCCCATAGGTTGTTTTGAAATTTACAGAAGATCACAGTGTACAGTACTGATTATTGTGCCTGGCACATACTCTCTCCTCAGTAAATGTTAGTCATTGTTGTTATGGGTTTTCCCTACCCTTGGCATGGCCCCACCCACTCCACTACTCCCCACTCTTCTTTGCACCACCCTTCATTACCTGCTCTGATTCATTACAGCTGGAGCTCCTTCCCTAGAGCATGATAGTGTTCAGGACAAGGCTTAGCCCAGATTCTTAGACTCTGCCTGCACATATGGAGACCTTCCACTGGACCCCCATTTCCCAGACGGGAGAGCAGAGGGGCTCCATCTAGGGCCAGGTGGCTCAGAACATTGGGCCGCTCCGCCCCACTTCCCAAACAGACGCTTGTAATCAGAGCAAATGCAGACACACCTGGCCCTGCCCTTCCCCTGTCCCAGATCATAGCAGGTCTGAGCCTGAGTTGCCCCACCCTGGATGGGGGCTATGCCCAAGGAGGAGGGCTCTATTATATACTATATACTACACCAAGAAATATGGGCAGGTTTTATCCACCAACTTTTCTTCTTCCTGGGAGGGAAGGACCCTGAAATCCAAAGTTCAGAGCCCCTGGTTCCAGTCGGCTTGGTGCCCCTTTAAGTCACTGGGATGGTGTATTTGGAACCAGATGCCTATGCATGTGCACGTGTGATTGTGTGCACACATACACATACATACACAAATCTGTTTCCACCTAGAATTCAGTGTCTTGAGGAGGGGAGCAGGTTGTAGAAGGATACCAAGGTTGGTTGTGCAGGTGAGGTGCTCTTAGTAGACTCTCCAACATGGAATGCCCTCCCCCAGCCCACACTCCCTGGGCGTGGCTGGCTTGTGTCGCCTTTTGGAACCAACCCCTGGTGGTTGACTGTGGCAGCCACCCTGCCTGCCCTGCTGCTGTCTATCCTCATCTTCATGGACCAGCAGATCACAGCAGTCATCCTCAATCGCAAGGAATATAGACTCCGGGTAAGGCCTGCTGGGTAAGGTCTCAGACCAAGGGACAGAAGCTCCAAGGTGGGGCCTCCAATCCCTAGTCTTCCACGGAGAGGACAAAGGCCCCAGGCATGGGCTACCCTCATCTACTTCCCATTCTCCTCCTCCTCACTATCTGCAGAAGGGAGCTGGCTTCCACCTGGACCTCTTCTGTGTGGCTGTGCTGATGCTGCTCACATCAGTGCTTGGGTTGCCCTGGTATGTCTCAGCCACTGTCATCTCCCTGGCCCACATGGATAGTCTTCGCAGAGAGAGCAGAGACTGTGCCCCTGGGGAGGCCCCCAGCTTCCTGGGCATCAGGTGAGGCTAGTATTCAAGAGGCTAGAGCAAGAGATGTACAGCAAGGTGGGGCACAGGGTATGTGACAGAGTTTCTGCGTGGCTTAAACTCTAATCTTGTGCACCACAGCACTGCAGTGGGGTAAATGGTGGGTTCTGGGAACTGCAATGGGTAAATCAGATCTTCTCTCCTCCTTCAGGCATGGGGACTGGGAGGGGCCTTAAGGGTGGAGGCAGGCAAGTGATTCTTAAAAATCCCCACTCAATGTAGAACACATGATTGATGTTACAAAAGAATTCATTACAAAAACAATTTTGTAATTGTTGGAAAACCAATCTGTCTAAAGTATATGGAATGAATTTTGTGAATTTTGAAATGTAAGGCTTTTTTGTTGTTGTTTTTTGTGGTACTGGGAATCAAACCCAGGACCTTGTGCATGCAAGGTAAGCACTCTTCCAACTGAAATGTAAGTCTTTATGGCAGTATAAAAATTACTAATTTTCCATCAAAATAAAAACAAAGAGCAGCTATGATCTTGAACTAATGGTGAGGCCTGGAAACCTCATTTTGAAGTGCTCTGCCATTTGCCGCCCACCAATACTCCACACCAAACTAAAGCCTTCACCCTGCCAGGTAACCTACTGGGTGATCCCTTTACTTTTCTCCAGCTGCCAGAGTCTATACTGGTGTCTGGTCAGGGTCTCCATCCTGGACCCAGGAACTCTCCCAGATCCGGGCTAATTTCTCCTTCTCCCCACAGGGAACAGAGGCTGACGGGCCTGGTGGTGTTCATCCTTACAGGCATGTCCATCTTTCTGGCACCTGTGCTCAAGGTACCTGGTAGGCCAGGATCAGGGTCAATGCAGTAATAACAAAACAGATAGCAAAAGCTGACACTGGTTGAATGCTTACTGTGTGACAGGCACTGCTTTCTCCATACTTGACCTCATTTTATCCTCATATTGACCCTAAAAGTTATATCAACTTTACAAACAAGAAACGCAAAGGTTAAAGAAGTAACTTGCAAAAGAGAGAGTTTCTCGGATCTGAGACCCCCAAACTCATATTCAGAAGGCTTTCTATCCAATGGAGCAGAATGTGGGCATCTAACCATCCCCTAGGGTCCAAGTGCTACCCTTGTTCCCAGCATCCCAACCAGCCTGAGACTAAGGCTTTATCATCACACCCCAGAACAACTTTGAGGCAAAAACCCTTTTCTTCTCCTTCAACAGACATTTATAGAACATGTGCTGTATGCCACTTCTGCTGGGTACCTGGAAGAAGTGAGGGCAGAGGAGTATAGAAAAGAAATATGAAACTAAGCCCTCTACCAGAAATATACACACAAACAAAAATCAAGTAATAGCAGAAGGGCTCAATAAGCCAAGATAGTAAAACACTTAAGGAGGGTGTGGAGAATGTCAGACAAGAGTCATTGGCAGGAAGACAAGAGAGGTTAGGGGAGGGAAAGGTCATGGAGGCTGGATGAGAGTGATTCAGTAGAAAGAGCCAGATGGACTGGATCATCCACTTACTAACTAGGTGACTCTCATAAACTATATGCCAAACATATAGTTCCAGGTACTGGGGATATGGTGGTGAACAAAAGAGGTCATGTCTCCATCCTTGCAGTCTGGTGAGAGAGGACATATTTTAAACAAATAAGGATCCAGGCACAACTCTGGAGACTAAAGAGTCAGGTGGATCCCAAGTTTGAGGCCAGCCTGGGCAACTTAGTGAGACCCTGTCTCAAAATAAAAATAATAAAAAGGGCTGGGAATATACTTAGTGGTAGAGTGCACTGGGTTCAATCCCTAGTACTTAAAAAGAAAAAAAGTAGTACCAGGGCTACTTTAGATTAGGTATTATCAGTGAAAGCCAAAGACCTCTCTGGGTTGTCATAAGATGAGGTATGTGTGGTGAGAGGGAATTGTCCATGAAGACATGAAGAAGTCTTATGGAAGAACATTTTAGGTGGAGTGAATAGTAAAGCAAAATACTTTTCATGGGGTAGAAACAAACTTGGCATGTTGAGTGACATAAAGGAGGCCAGTATACTGGGAACATACATAACAGAGAGGAGGAATGTGATAGATAAGATTGGAGAGGTAAGCCAGGTAATGGGCAAGTTACTTACTCTCTCTCTGAAAATCAGTTTCCCCATCTGTAAAATGCAGACAATAATATAATTCACCTCATTTTACTGATGTGAGAATTTCATGCAATCAGGCGATCAGGCATGCATGCAAAATGAGAAAAGAAAGAAAAGAAAAGGCATGGGCAGGCTCAGATGCTGGAGGCTGGGGTTGGAGTCTGAGTTGGGGCGTCTGGGCACTGGCAGAGGTAAACTCCTTCACCAGCTCTACACTTCTTCCTACCAGTTCATCCCAATGCCTGTGCTCTATGGCATCTTTCTGTACATGGGGGTGACAGCACTTAGCAGCATTCAGGTGAGTCCTTTAAAATCACCCAAAACCCCACTCCTCCTGTCTAAACTTGCCAATTACCCTTCTGCCCTGTTTGCTTTGCCTCTCTTGAGTGTAAAGAGTTGGCTGCCAGGCTCTGGATGGGGAGGAGGACAAAGGGACCTTTTGCCCCACCCCCACTGGGCTGGAGTAGCTAACAGTGACACTTTCTAGCTACCTGATTGCCCTGCTTTCCTTTTCCTCTCATCCTCCAGTTTATGAAGAGAGTTCAGCTCTTGTTGATGCCAGCAAAACACCAGCCAGACCTGCTGCTCTTGCGCCATGTACCTCTGAGCAGAGTCCACCTCTTCACAGCTATCCAGCTTGCCTGCCTAGGTCTGCTTTGGATAATTAAGTCTACTCCTGCAGCCATCATCTTCCCCCTCATGGTGATTTGGGGCAGTGTTGGGTAATCCTGGGAGTTCTGGGAGACTCTGATCCTGAGAGGGTGGCCAAGGCCTCCACAAGTGGAAGTCTATCCCCTCTCCCACTTGCCCTAGCTCTTCTTGGTTGGAAATCCTAAGAGAAAGAAAGACAGCTGAAGGATACCTACAGATAGGATAGGGCCAGGGTGCTTGATTCACCTCCTTTCCTAACCTCTTTGGGCTGATCTATGAACTCAAAACCAAACTGGAGTCCTGGGGTAAGGCAATGTTGAGGGGTAACAGAGAAGGAAGTTGAGAGCTATGGATTATGCAGTAGGACCAATCTGTTTACCATATCCCAGATGTATAACCTCTGAGAAGTTTTAATCTTTTAGGGCCTCAATTTCTTTCTCTATACCATGGGAATAAAATATCTTATAGGGATGTGTTATGTTCTGTGAAATGATACTCAATGCCTAGCATATAGGAAGTGCTCAATAAATATTACAGTTATGCTGTTGCTGCTGACAACCTTGGGCTTGTTTCTATTTCTGCAGTTGCTAGGCCTGGTTGGAGTCCGAAAGGCACTGGAATGGGTCTTCTCACCACAGGAACTCCTCTGGCTGGATGAACTCATGCCAGAGGAGGAAAGGAACATTCCTGAGAAGGGGCTAGAACCAGAGCACCCATTCAGTGGAAGTGACAGTGAAGATGTGAGCTCCAGATGGGATGACCCAGGGGAATGGGGCAGAAGTTGGGAGCACACTCTGTCCAGAAGCTATTCCTAAAGTTTAATATCTCCACTAACCGTGAAGATTTGATAAACACAATCACTCTCCTTAGCTCTATGTTGACATAGGCAGAATGGATAGTAAGGGAAATTTTTATTTGTAGGGCAGGGGTCCTGGTTTATGAGTCTATAGGGTGGAGAGGGCTGGATCACAGCTTTAAGGTGTGTCTTTTTCAACCTTGATCTGGGTTTTTATATATATCACTGGGGTTTATATCCTGTCACTGGGTCCCTTCTTTGCTTGCCTCTCTCTCTCTCTTTTTTTTTTTCCAACCCATCTTTGGATCTCTCTTCCACAGTCGGAGCTGATGTATCAGCCAAAGGTCCCAGAAATCAACATCTCTGTGAATTAGCTGGAGTAAGAGTATGGGAGTGAAGATCCCAGGAAGCCAAGCATAAGGTGAGGGTGTGAGCCAAGTAAGTGCTCCTAGCGTTGAGGATGGGAAGATGGGGCTCAGGCCTTGGAAACTTCTTTGGATAATTAAGTCTACTTAATTATCTACCTGACCAGTCCTGTGTTCTCTTCATACTCCAGTACCTTATGAACCCTAGGGTGGGGGAGGAAGAAGAAGGATATTTTCAGAGGCAAGAACAAAACGGCAAGAGGGAATGGGCTTGACTCCGTGCAGTTCCGAAGTCTGGCCAATAGAGGGAGATCAAATTCACACCATGAGGGACGTGGAGGTGGAAGGGGCGGAGGATGAGAGGGAGGGGTGCGATGACAAAAGAGCCAAAGGAGAGCAAGGAAGGATAAAGCTTAGGCTCCTCTCCCTCGCCCAGGAGGCTCCGCCTCAGCTATGAGCCACACTCCAGACAAGTGGAGGGATCCTCTATACCATTCGTTTATTCATCCATATATAATTTTCTGTTTTTTTTTTTTTTTTTTTTTTTTTTTAATTAAACGAGCTTATCACTGAGTATCCGGGAACTAGAGATAGAGTGGCAATCATAATCCCTGTCTTCAGAAAGCTTAAATCCCAGTGGCACAGTGGCAGCAGGAGGATTCCAAGTTCAAGGCCAGCCTCTGCAATTTAGCGAGACCCAGTGTCAAAGAGCTGGAAATGTAGCTCAGTGGTAAAGTGCCTCTGAGTTCAATCCCCAGTACAAAAAATAAAATAAAATCCCAGTGGGATAGTGCTGGATAAGAGAAGCCCAGGATGTGGGAGGTAGTGAAGATGGAATGAGTAGGAGTTAGTGAAGTTTCTAACGGGAAGTGGTCCATAATAAGAAATCTGAAGAGAAATTAGCCAGGACACAATGGAGGGGAAATGGTCTATGCTGAAGCCACAGCATATGCAAGAACCCAAAACTGTTTGCCCTTGATGATCTGAACTTTCTTTTTAGCCAAGAACACCCTCTCCATGTCTCTACAAGACCAAGAACCCAAAAGCCCCCACCAATTGCAATGGCAAGTTGGGCGTTAGTGAAAGGGCAATTCACTAGCTGGTCCAGAACAAGATCTCCTGGGCTTATATCCCTTAGCATTCCTTTTGCTCTTTGTCCTATTGTGTCCTTGAGCCCTTGCTCTGGCCTCATCATTTCTTCTCCCAGTTCACATGTGTGTCCTCAGGAAGTTAGGACATTGTTGGCCTTTGGCTTCACTGTCAGATGCTCTCAGCTGGGGATCTGGAACAATGGGACAGGACTGAAGGGCAGCTGGCCACAGGCTTTGGGCATTTTCTCTAGGTCAGTACACATGTGTCTAGGTCATTCTTCTTGTCATCTGCAGAGAATGAATATTTCCTGGAAGGGAACAGGCGGTTTTGTTGGTGTTTAGGAAAGGCTGGTGAGCCAAAGGGATTTACTTGCTCTCTACACAATTAATGAGACCTGAGCCCAGAAGCCCTTCCCATTTTGAACTATCTGTTCTCACAAATCCTCATTTATAGAATCTGGAGATTGGTCATCTTTTCTACTCGCAAAAGAAGAAAAAGTCTCTTTCCAGAATAAGGATCCCTTTATGTGAAACAGCTTATTTATTTACTTATTTTATTTTGAGACAGGGTCTTGCTAAGTTGCTGAGACTGGCCTCCAACTTGCCATCTCCTGCCTGCTTCCTGAGTCACTGGGATTACAGGCCATGAGCCACTATGGCCAGCTTGAAGCACTTTTTTATACAAATAAAAATAATCTTTCTTATTGTTTTGTTGACCACAAAAGTAAATGAAGCAACTGGAAAAATCTCAAAACATTACAGAAATGGGTAATTTTGAAATGGAAATCATTCAAGAAATAACCATTGTTCACATTTTGGTGTCTGTTGTTCAGATTTATTTCAATGGATACGTTACTATTTTTTCTTAAAAATAGTATACTATAAAGTTCTGTACCATATGTTTCACTTAATATGCACTGAGCATTTCTCCATGTCAGTACACATGTGAACTTCTCACTACCTCATTCGGTCATCTGCATAGAATAAATAATCTTATAAATTTGAAAAAGACCCCCCCAGCATATAAAGTCTTCTGCAAGTGCAAGAATTTCTCCAGAGTTCATAGCTAGGAGTGGAATTAAAGAATAACAGTGAAAAGAACACCTATATATTCCAACACTCAGGTTAAGAAATAGAATATTTCTAGTACCTTAGAAGCCTCTCTCTATATGTCCTTCCCAGACTGCATCCTCACTTCCAGAAAACGACTCTCCTACATTTGATGGTAATCATTCTACTGCATTTTTTGAAACAGGGATTGAACTCAGGGGCACTCGACCACTGAGCCACAGTCACATCTTCAGCCCTATTTTGTATTTTATTTAGAGACAGGGTCTCACTGAGTTGCTTAACACCTCCCAAGCTGCTGGGATTACAGGTGTGTGCCACCAGGCCTGGCGATTCTACTGCTTTTTAAAAGAATTTTAACTTTCCTTATGTACCCTTACATATTTATTATTTTACATACTTTTGGATGATAAATATAAATAGAACCATAGTGTAGAATTCTTCTGTGATGGCTTCTTTCACTCAGTATGTTTGAATCAATCAAGTTGATGCATGTACTTGTAGTTTGTTTTTCTTGTTGCTATGTAGTACTCCATTGTATGTCTCCACCAAAATTCAATTATCCAACTTTCTATGGATTCAAAGAAGTCACTGGTGAAGTCAATGCTCTAGTACTTCAGCTGTGGAAAGTTTAAATAGATTCAAATTCTTTAATTTTCAGGCTATTTATTCTTTAGCCAGTTTTGGTAAGCTGTATTTTTTGGTTATTTATTATTTTTTTATTTTCCTTTTGTGGTGCTGGGATTGAACTTGGGGGCCCTTATTGAGCTAAATCCCTAGCCCTAAAATTTATTAATTTTTATCTAAGTTCTCATATTTATTGGCATAAAGTTATTTTAATAACCCTTATATAATTTTAGCTGTGATTCTCTTACCATTTCTTTTTTTTAAAATTTGTAGATGGACACAATACCTTTATTTTATTTATTTATTTTTATAGGGTGCCAAGGATGGAACCCAGTGCCTCACACATGCTAGGCAAATGCTCTACCACTGAGCCACAACCTCATCCCCCCATTTCTATTATTATTTGTGCATTCTCTTAATTGCTCTTGCCTCAAGTTAGTTTATTTAATAGTATTTTCAAATAATTTTCACGTTGTTGATCTCTGTTGAATGTTTTCTATCTTATTACTTTCTTTCTTTTCTTTGTTATTCTCTTCTATTTCTTTAGGTTATTCTGTTGTTTTTCTAAGTTCTTAGCCCCTATTAAAAGAATTTTTTTTTAGTTGTAGATGGGCACAATACCTTTATTTTATTTGTTTTTTTAATTTTTTTTTAATTGGTGCTCAGAATCGAGCCCAGTGCCTCATGCATGCTAGGCAAGGGCTCTACCACTGAGCCAGAACTTGGTCCTATTTTGAGCCTAATTAGAATGCATCCTAATGTAAGCATTGCTGTCATAATTTTCCTCCTGTTTTAATTACATCCTATAATTTTGATACATTATATTCTCAACATTTTAAAAATATTTTTATTAGTTATACATGGGCACAATGCCTTTATTTTATTTGTTTATTTTTTTATGTGGTGCTGAGAATTGGACCCAGTGCCTCACACATGCTAGGCAAGTGCTCTGCCACGGAGCCACAACCCCAGCCCCTTAACATTATTTTTAAGTATTTTCTATTAGATCCACAAGCTATTGAAAGTGCATTTTTAAATGTTCACATATATTATTTCCCCCTTAGTTATCTTTTTTTTTTTTTGTAACTTATTTCTAATTTAATTGCATTTAGAGATTTTTGAGGCTAACTTTATGGCCTGGCATATGGTCGAGTTTTGTAAATATTCCATGGGTACTTAAAAAGAATGTTTATTCTCTTAATTGTTAGGAGCAATATTATATTAATTTCTATTAGGCTAGACTATTAATTATGCTGTTCAAAATGTTTTACATAGTTGGTCTGTTTGAACTATCACATTAATGTACCTCACATGATAATATATTTGTCAATATCAATTTCTCCTTGACGATTTTTCCCCCCACATTGGGAACTGCACTCAAGGCAGAAATGTGTCTGAATCTACTTTTTAAAAAATATTTTTTAGTTGTAGTTGGACACAATACCTTTATTTTATTTACTTATTTTTATATGGTGCTGAGGATCAAACCCAGGGCCTTACACATGCTAGGCGAGCACTCTACCGCTGAGCCACAACCCCAGCCCTGAACCTACTGCTTTAATGTAGGTAAAAATTAGGAGAGTTCAGGTAAATCTTTGAATGAAGAGAGGGAGGACTTGCTGACTGGTGCAAAATGAGAGAAAAAGGTGAGAATGAGAGAAGCAATTCTGGTTTCAGGGTCAATTACTGCCTTTTACCTCTCTTCCAGGTGCTTTTACCTCTCTTCCAAGGGCTGTCCAGGGATTCACTGATCGTTCATTATACATTCATTCAGCAAATATGTGTTAAATACCTATTGGTGGCCCATGCCTGTAATCCCAGCAGTTTGGGAGGCTGAGGCAGGAAGATCATGAGTTCAAAGCCAGCCCCAGCAAAAGCAAGGCGGCGCTAAGCAACTCAATGAGACCCTGTCTGTAAATAAAATTTAAAATAGGGCTGGGGATGTTGCTCAGTGGTTATGCACCCCTGGGTTCAATCCCTGGTACCAAAAAATAAAAAAATAAAAATAAAAATAAACCAAAAAAACAAAACTAAAAAACAAACAAACAAAAAACCCCTACTATATGCCAGGTAGTGTTCTATGTGTAAGATTTCAGTGGTAAATAAGAGAAGATATTTACTCTCCTAGAGATTCTAGTAGGGAATACAAAATAAATAAGTATAATAATATATACACAATACAATATTGGACAGTGACCAATGTAGTAATCCAGGTAAATGTGATAGTGAGGAAGGCCTTGGTGTTGGCTATTTTAATATGGGGAGTGGTAAGGGCCTCTTTGAGAAAATAACATTTGAGCAGAGACCTGAATGACAAAAATGAGTCAGACTTGGTAATAGGAGAGAGGATATGTAGGGGAAGCATTCATGGCCAAAGGAATATGCTTTCAAAGCCTTTCAGTCAGTAAGGATTTTGGAATGTTTAAGAAACTGAATGAAGGTTCATGGAGCTAGAATGGAGTGAGGGAGAGAATACTGCAAGATGAGGTTGGGAAGGGTGAGGATTAGGGTTGTAGGCTACCATAATGAATACCTTAGAAAAGCAGTGTGGGCGAGGCCTTGTCACTTGGGGTAAAAATAGTAGGGCCCCAACCCAGGGTAGCCAAAACAAGGTTGAAAATAAAAAACCAAGTTGGAGAACTTGTAATTTCTGATTTTAAAACTTTCTACAAAGCTATAATAATCAAGACAGGGTGTGGTAGTAGCATAAGGCAGACATATAGATTAACAGAACAGAATTGACAGTCTAGAAACAAAACCTCACAATTATGGTCAATTAATTTTTCACATGGCTGCCCAGATAATTCAATGGTGAAAGATAATATTTTCAACACATGACACTGGGAAAACTGGATATCCACATGCAAATAAATGAAGTTGAACCCCTACTTTACACTATGTGCAAAAACTAACTCAGAATGGATCAATGACCTAAATATAAGAACTAAAAAACACTCTTTTTTTTTTTTTGTACCAGTAATTGAACCCAGGGCACTCTATCATTGAGCCACATCCCAGCCCTTTTTTATTTTTGAGACAGGGTTTCCCTAAGCTTCCCAAGCTGGCATTGAATTTGCAATCCTCCTGTCTCAGTCTATGAGTAGCTAGAATTACAGGCATGTGGCACCACGCCTGGCTAAAACACTTCCTTAAAAGAAAACATAGGCATAAATCTTTATGACCTTGGATTTAGCAATGGTTTCTTAGACATGATAACATAAGACAAACCACAAAAGAAAAAAATTAATTGGACATAATAAAAATTAAAAACTTCCCTGCTGCAAATGACACTCAAGAATGTGAAAAAACACCAGGCATGGGGACACACACCTGCAATCCTAGTGGCTTGGGAGGCTGAGGCAGGAAGATCTTGAGTTCAAAACCAACCTCAGCAATTTAGCAAGGGCCTAAGTAACTCAACAAGATCCTATCTCTATCTAAAATATAAAATGCGCTATGGATGTGGCTCAGGGTTAAGCACCCCTGGACTCAATCCCTGGTACCAAAAAAAAAAAAAGGAAAAAAGAATGAAAGAAAAAGTGAAAAAATAAGCCACAGAATGGGAGAAAATATTTACAAACATATGTCTGTACCTAAAATATACAAAGAACTTTTACAACTCAATAATATAAAAAGACAAATATCCCAAATAAAAAATGGGCAAGGGATACAGACAGACATTTATTCAAAGAAGATATATACATGGTCAGTAAACACATTAAAAGATATTCAACATTGTTAATCATCAGGGAAATGAAAGTGAAATCCACAATAGGATACGACTTAAACCCACTAGGATAGTTAAAATAATAATAAAAAAAGGGTCTGTAAGAATGTAGAGAAACTGTATCCTTCATACTGATGGTGGGAATATAATATGGTGCAGCTGCTTTGGAAAACATTCTGGGAGTTCTCTAAAAGACTAACATATCATCTGAGTCAGTAATTCTACTCTTAAGTGTATGCTCAAGAAGACTGAAAACTTAGGTCTACATAAAAATTTGTACACAAATCATAGTTACATTATTTATGATAGTCAAAAAGTGAAACAACTCTAATGACTCAACAACACAAACTGATGAATGGGTAAATAAATTGTTATATCTATATAGTGGAATATTAGCTAAAAATTAGAATTAAGCACTGATTCATGCTCTAGTAATGAAACTTGAAAATATTCTAAGTGAATGAAGACAAAAATTCTATTTACATCAAA